CATAGATAGATAGATAGATTAAAAGGGTGATGAAAGAAATGGTTTTGAAGAGGAATTGGGAGAACTGAGAAAACGTTTGAAGTGAGAATTGTTCAAAACTCATGGGGGAGCATGAAAAGACAATGGCGATAATTTAATATAAACACATAAAGATACTCTTGATATTTGTGTAAACTTGAAATATTTCTTGTATTCTTATAGGTGAAGAAAAAAGGAGCTATTCTAGAGAGTTGGTTTAACCTGCTTATATCCATATTGACAAAGCTGTTGGTCCATCATTCTGTGAAGAATTCATGGGGAAAACCCAAAATATTTGTAAATTATCTTACAATAAACCACTTACATGAAACAGATGTTCCTGTTTTTTTGTGTGTGAATATCTGGATCAAAGAGAATCAATTTCTTTTTGAAATCAGCTGTTTACTGCTTGTATTCTGTTTGCTGCATGTAGTGTGTAGGTGGATTTTCCTTAGAGAAGCACAGGAAATGTGATTCAGAGAACAAATTATCTAATGTAATCTGGTATTCTCAGAGGACGTTCAATGCTTCATGTTTCAAAAGCAAGTATAAAGTCTGTGTAATGCATCTGTTCATTAGCCTAGTACAATAAGGGAACATGCACAAATTCATTTGCATTATATTATCCTACAACGTTTTAGGATTTGTTCTTTCCGATATACTGTCCCGTTGGTCTTGTATTCTAAAACATAGTTCATCGCAGGGATGGAAGTGACTAGTCGTTCTCTCCCCTTCCCTCCCCACCACTGCTGCTTCTATTAGAGAAAGGCAGCAAGACGGGGGAGCAGGTGACAGTGCTTGGAGGAGCCAGCTTAAAAGCCGGTACCTCCAGCACCATCTCCGCAGGGGAAGTAGAGACACAGCGAGAAATAGCGCAAGCAGGGACTGAAGTAGTCTCCACTTGTGCCAGTTTTGCTGCAATTCTGCTTTTGAAATGTAGAAGAGTCCCGGTGGCACTCTTGTACATCTCAAAAGCTCTGCACTTTACATTTCAAAGGCTGAGGTGCCACAGGGAGCACGGGACCTACTACCCCATGCTCCTTGCGGAGCTTCCGCTTTTTGAACTGTAGCAAGAGCCTGGTAGAGGCGCCCTTATCGACTAATTGAATAGTTGATGGAAATCCCATTGACTATTTGATTAAACTAAATTTAACATCCCTAGTACATCAGCCACTCGTACATTTTTATCAGTGGTGTTTTTTAATTAAAATACTGTCTAGAGCTGTGCATTCCTACATCTTATTAGTCAATAGTGTCAGTGTGAAAGGAGACTTGTTATTGTAGTAAGGAATTTTGAGAAGTGTAGAATGCACTGGGGGGGTAGGAGGTCTATATGTGTGGGTAGCATGAAAGAAGGAACAACAGAAAAGGAAAAAAAAAGAAGGAAACAGCATTGAAATGGTGTGAGAAGATCAGAAATAAATTACATTAGTACTGTTGATAGAAACAAAACCTTGAAGATCAGGATTGAATCTGGAGAAATAAACAGGAGAGTAAGCCCAAGAGACTTGAAGAGAAAGATGCTACTGAGTGTCAGAGGAAGAATTTAACTGAAATGTTTGGATAGACAAGAGAGGGACCAAGTGAGAAATTGGAAAGCCAGAGATGAACCGGTTTCAGTGATCATGCAATATGATTAATCTGTTCCAGATTAGATGTATTTTTTTAAATTAGTACTGAGGCTGCTGGTCATGTTTGATGTGTTACCAACAGCGACTTTGACTAATGATGCTCATAATTGGCAACTTTAACAAGTCTCAGGGAATTTGCTATGTGTGTTTTTTATAAAGCAGCCAAAATCTGGTGGGTATTTCAGTCATGTGAGGTGAGGAGTCCCTAACCCAATGGGCTTACAGTCTAAGTCCTCAATCCATTTACACTCAAGTGTAACTTTACTCATGAATAGTTAGCTCCTTTTTTTTCCCTCCCTAAAACCACTAGCTAATTGCCTGTTCCTTGCCCCTGACATAAGTTAGTTTAGATGTAAATACTTTCAAACTACAATCTAAAAGAAGAGTTTAGAAATCATTTGCTGCACTTGGATGAAGGGGGCAGGTGCAGCTGCTTAAATGGTTGGAAATCAATTTCAGGAGTATTCTGATAGATATTAGAGCATCACCTATCCTGTCTTTTTTCAAATACAGTAGGGTTTATGGGTAGGAAGAGATTTTTTGACTCCACAAATCTTAATATGAAAATGTTGCCACTATCCTACCTGTTCCAGTGCAGGAATTTATAAGGAAACTAAAACCAATGTTTTGCTTGTTTGTAACGATTCTATTGCACTACATTTATTACAAACATATACAATAATTAACTTTAAGAATCTTAATTATTCTGCAAGGTTGTGGCATGATCAAATGTCTTTTGCTGTTCTGAAGGTTGTTTTACTCAAACCTAGTGATCAAAAATTTCCACTCTATTTTCTCTAGAAAGTGCCTATAAAGTTACACCTTAGTAAGATGAAAAATGGAAGTAGTCACTGGTCTGGTATTAGGTTGGTCCTTGCAATCCATTCTCAGTTAATGTATTCAGTTGGATTGCCTAGGATTCTAACCTGGCCCATTCTATTTCCCCTAACCACACATCCTGCTGACTCAAAACTTTGGTAGACAAACTGCCCTTGGTCAACAAATAAGGAAAATGAAAGAGTCCTCACTGATGTTTAACTGTAGAATGCTCTGAGAATTTACAGAATTTTAAAATGTTTGGTGCAGAATTACCCCAGGAGTGTTGGGTCAACCCAGTGACTGTACAGACACTGTGTCACTCACATTGACTAGTGCTGCCTTTCAGAAACCATCCCTCAATGCTCCACAGTGGCAGTTAAATGAGTGCAAGGACTCAAGCTGAAGATGCACGCAGTGTAGGGGTGGATGTGTAAAACCACTTTAATTACTTGGTGGCTATATGTGGATGTAACAAAGGTCAGCTTAATTTTGTAGTGTAGAACCCATGTCCTAGTCAAATGCCATCCTGAATAACTGTTTGCTCTACATGCAATTCACTGTGCACCCTCTGTAGATGGAGATCAGCAACATGCACAGAAATGGGAAGGTTTTGAAGTACAAGGAACTTAGTGAGAAGTTGCCAAGGCCAGGGTCTGGGATTGCTTCTTGAGTTTGATATTTTGGAGGAAAGGCCACTTCCTGGGTTAGACAGAAGTGCTGGCAGAAAAGCAGAGTGGATGGGGATCTGCTGCAAAGATGACTGTTACTGTAGCATGGAAGAGAAACTAAAAGTTATAAAGTATCCAGGAGAAGAATAGAAGACTAAAAAACAATAGAGAGAGACTGTTACAAGTAGCCCTCTCCTCACTTCAAGAGACACCAGACCCTCCCTTTCAGAAAAGGCACACATGTCAGAAATAGAGTGAATTTATAAAGGAATGGGGAGAAAATGGGCTTTTCTACAAAACCCTTTCCAGATTTCAGCATATAATGGGGCTCCTACCACTTTGGTGAGAGTTGAGTCAAGCCTAGCACATCTGTCACTGCATCTTCCCAATATTTGATCTAAAATGTATTGTCTTTATTTTGGCCCCTAACTCTTATGTACCACATAAAGGCCCCAGGCCTTCAAATTGAGCATGGGGCTTTGCTGCAAAGAAGGCTGGTGCAATTTTAAACTATATACTCAGTTACAGAGTACCGCATATCCTTGGTATGAATATCTTTGGTTACCTGTTAATCTCGCATTACATTCCAGAAAGCACACCACAACCATAATACAGTAAATATTCTGTTATATGCCACTTAATTAACTGGAAAGCTCAACTGGCATTTCTAATATCTGCTAACAAAAATATTCAGTCTAGTAACAGACTAGTATATGGCCACGCCCAGCACATTATGCAACTGCATATTCTACACTCTACATTTATGCCAAAAAAGGCAGAAGACAAATAAGTAAGCTGATGCAGTTTCTAGGGCATGTCATTACCAGTTCAGCTCAATCTCCTACACTTTCTACAAACATCTACAATGATAATTGATATTGATGACCCTGAGGCACTACAAGATCCTGAAGTGTCTGCTGAATCATTGAAGATTAAATTACGTTTTGTAGAGTTTTATATTAAGTGTATTTTTAATGAACTGGGATGTATGTCATGACCTGCCAATTGTCGTGTAGTGACACAAAATAACTTTCCCTGCATACACCTAAGTGCTTCAAGGAACCAACCACTCTGCAGTGCAATACATCAGGCTTGGTGAGTACCTGAATACTATTATACTTTATTCATTTTATTGTTTTCTAGTTCTTTGAAAAGTGGTATTCCATTGATAAAATAGAACTGTTTGTTAACCAGAATATTCAATTAACCAGCACCCTCCATTCCACCAGTATGCTGATAACAGAGCTTTTACTGCATTGTCAAACTGGGGGAGCATTCAAAGAATAGTAATAAAAATGACCAGAGGACTTAATCTGAAAGGGAAAAAATTAAAGGAAGGAGAGAAGGGACATAACAGAGAACCCCACTGAGTGCTGAATGAAGGGGAGGGAAGTCAAATCTTTTTTTCAGGAAAAGTTGGATTTGACAAACTATTTTTTTCTGAAAATGCATATGCTTTCCAAAGAATTTTTAAGTTTTTTAAAATAAAAATAGTATTTTTATTCTGAAATGCCTACAGTCTGCCTTACAAAAATTATAGTTCAAGTTCCCTGTGCTCCCCTTCTCCATAGGCCAGGCTCTGTATCTGAACATTTCCTAGGCCACCTCTTTCCAAGAGATCATAGGAGATGTACCCTGATGCATGAGCCCCAAAGAGACTGGGATTGCAAAGCATCTGATCTGTAACCCCCTCAGACACAACAACAGCATTTCTTAATCAAAGTGTTTCATATGTTTGAAGGGAGGGGGTAGCAGAAAAATTAAACCACTTGCTCTATTGCCCATAAGACAAATATAAACAAACCCCAAATGCCTCCCTTTTAAAAAAAGGCCATGCTTTTGGGGTCCAGACTAAAGACTTTTTAACCCTTAGGATTGCTACTACAGCTCCTCATACCATGCTGATACTGCACTGACTAACATCCCTCTTCTGCAGGCTTCTCTTACCACAAACTTGCACAAAGTTTCTCTGTGCATTGTCTTCTCTAGTTTGCATCAGTTTCTAGCAGGGCTGCAGGTCCCTCTTCACTCCCCTGTCACTGTCTGATCCTTACCAAACAGAGCACTGCAAATCTGGACGAAGATACTTGCGGCTCACTTTTGCAGATAGGGAGGCGGACACCCAGTTTTGTTTGTAGGACCCTGCAAATTTGAGGATATCCACTTTATATCCCCTGGTACTGTTTGCAGATGCAGGTACCAATGGTGTAGCCGGGC